AAGAAAGCAATAGCAAATGCAACAAAAACAGAAATAAATAAATGGGACCTAATTAAACTAAAAATCTTCTGCACAGAGAAAGAAATAATCAACCGTGTAAGTGGACAGGCTACAGAATGGGAGAAAGTATTTGCAAGCCATGTATCCAACAAAGGACTAATGTCCAGAATCTATAACCTCATATAAATCAGCAAGAATAGAACAAACAATCCCACTAAAAAGTGAGCAAAGGACTTGCACAGGTATTTATCAGAAGAAGATATACAAATAGCCAACAAATAGATGTGATGTTCAGCATCACTATTTATTAGGAAGATGCAAATTAAAACAACAATGAATACCGCCTTATTTCCTGCAGAATGGTCATTATTAAAAAGTCAAAAAACAACAAAAGTTTTCATGGATCTGGTGAAAGGGGAATGCTTATACACTGCTAGAAGAAAGGTAAATTACTACAACCACGTCAGAAAACAGTATAAAGATTCCCAAAGAACTAAAAGCAGATCTGCTATTCAATCCACTAGTCCAAATTCTGGGAACCCACCCAAAGAAAGAAAAGTAAATATAAATGAGACACCTGCATGCATATGTTTAGTGCAGTACAATTCACACTTGCAAAGGTATGGAACTAATAAAAGTGCCCATCAACTGATGAGTGGATAAAAATGTGGTCATGGAATACTACTTAACCATGAAAAGAAATGAAATAATGTATTTTGTAGCGCCTTTGCTAAAACTAGGCATATTCTCCTAAGTACAGTAACTCAGGAATGGAAAACCAAATACCACATGTTCTTGCTTTTAAGAGAGAGCTGAGCTTTTCTATGCAAAGGCATACAAAGAGGTTTAGTGGACATTGGAAACTCAGAATAGGGAGGCTAAGAGGGGAGTAAGTTATAAAATATTACCTATTGGGTACAGTGAACACTTTTCAGGTGACAGTTACAATAAAACCCCAGGCTTCACCATTATACACTTTATCTGTGTAACTGAAAATTATTTGTACCCCTAAAGCTTTTGAAATAAAAAAATAAAAAAAATTATGCATACTATAGTTTCACATATGGTCAATAAAGAAAAAATTTAAAAAAAAATAAGGAGAGGGATCCAAGATGCCCCATTAGGAGCAGCTCAGGATAGCAACTCCCAGTGAAAGCGTGGAGGGTGAGTGGATGCCGCATTTCAAGATGATTTTTATTGCCCACAGACTAGGAGATTCCCAGGCAGAGGAACCCCATGGGTCACCAGCGCAGCTGTTTTGGCTGATGCGGCTGTTTTGCCGGAGCCCTGGCACAGCAGTTCTCCATACCAAATACACGGGTCTGGGTGCTGTTTTAGCTTGCGATTGGAGCTCCAGGGAGGCAGAGTTGTCCATTCATCTGATTAAAAAGGGGACTGAAACAGGGAGCCAGGCCAGGAGATTTCTGGGCAGAAAAGCGCCACGAATCTTAGTGCCGCTGTTTCAGCTGGCACAGTGGGTCTCTGCATGGGAAATCACACAGATCCCAGCGCCTTTTCAACAGGCGACTGGGAGACAGGAACATCTGGGAGACATTCAACCATTCAACTAAAAAAAAAAAAAAGGCTCTGAGGCAGGGAGCCAGGTGATCAGGCTCTGCTGGTCCCACACCCACAAAAAAACAGCAATCTGAAATGCTCTTGATTGAGAGTTTCACAGCAAGAACAGCTGAACCCGGGACAGTCCAGCTCTGTGGGGGAGGGGTGTCTGCCATTACCAAGGCAGTCCACCACTACAGAGGCAGTTTGCCATTACTGAGGCAGCCCGCCATTGCCAAGGCAGCCCGTCATTACAAAGAGAGTCCACCATTATAGAGGTGGGCCGCCATTGCCAAGGCAGTTCTAACCATACCCATATAAACAAGACTGCAGGGACGTTCACATGGCAGCTGAGCGGAGCTCACAACAGCACAGTGAAGCCTCTGCAGGCAGGCAGTGACTAGGTTGCCTCCTCACTGGGCAGGGCAGCCCTGAATAAAAGGCAGCAGCACAACATAAACTCATAAATAAAGCCCTAACTCCCCAGGACAGAGCACCTGGGAACAAAAAAAGGGGTGGGGGGTTTATGAGTTCCGTTGCAGCAGACTTAAACTTATCTGACCAGCAGCTCTGAATGAATGATGGAGCTCACAGCTAAGCACCAGAGCTCCTATAAAGGACAGACTATCTCCTCAAGCATCTCACTGACCCCCGTATATCCAAAGAGTCACCTCATAAAGGAGAGCTCAGACTGACATCTGGCGGGTATCCTTCTGGGACAAAGATAGTGGAAGAAGAAACTGGCAGCAACCCTTACTGTTCTGCAGCCACTGCAAGTGATCCTCAGGCAAGCAGGGCCTGGAGTGGACCTCAGCAGTCCTACAGCAGAGGGGCCAGGCTCTTAGAAGGAAAACTAAGAAACAGAAAGAAATAGCTTCATCATCAACAAACTGGACATCCACTCAGAGACCCAATCTGAAAGTCAACAACTGCAAAGATGACAGGTGGATAAATCCACAAAGATGGGGAGAAACCAGCACAAAAAGAATGAAAACGCCCAAAACCAGAATGCCTCTCCTCCTCCAAGGGATCACAGCTCCTCACCAGCAAGGGAACAAGGCTGGATGGAGAATAAGTGTGATGAATTGACAGAATCAGGCTTCAGAAGGTGCATAATAAGAAACTTCTGTAAGCTAAAAGAACATGTTCTAACCCAATGCAAAGAAACAGTTTACTAGAACTGTGCTCTTCTGCCTGAGTGAGGACAAGAAGAACATCATCCTGGAGGAGGGCAAGGAGATCCTGGTGGGCAATGTGGGCCAAACTGTCAATGACCCCATGCCACCTTTGTCAAGATGCTGCCAGATAAGGAATGCCTCTATGCCTTTTATGATGCAAGCTATGAGACCAAGGAGAGCAAGAAGGAGGACCTGGTGTTTATCTTCTGGGCTCCTGAGTCTGCGCCCCTTAAGAGCAAAAGGATCTATGCCAGCTCGAAGGACACCATCAAGAAGAAGCTGACAGGGATCAAGCATGAATTGCAAGCAAACTGCTACGAGGAGGTCAAGGACCGCTGCACCCTGGCAGAGAAGCTGGGGGGCAGTGCCGTCATCTCCCTGGAGGGCAAGCCTTTGTGAGCCCCTTCTGGGCCCCTGCCTGGAGCATCTGGCAGCCCCACACCTGCCCTTGGGGGTTGCAGTCTGCCCCCTTCCTGCCAGACCAGAGGGGCTGGGGGAATCCCAGCAGGGGGAGGGCAATCCCTTCACCCCAGTTGCCAAACAGACTCCCCACCCCCTGGATTTTCCTCCTCCCTCCATCCCTGACAGTTCTGGCCTTCCCAAACTGCTTTTGATCTTCTGATTCCTCTTGGGTTGAAGCAGACCAAGTTCCCCTGAGGCCTCCCAGTTGTGGGGGGAGCCTGTATTTTTTTTTTAACAACATACCCAATCCCCACTTGTTCCTCCCCCTTCCCATGCTGTCAACTTCTAACCGCAATAGTGACTCTGTGCTTGTCTGTTTAGTTCTGTGTATAAATGGAATGTTGTGGAGATGAACCCTCCCTGTGCCGGCTGGTTCCTCTCCCTTTTCCCCTGGTCACTGCTACTCATGGAAGTGGACCACTAAGGGACCTTCGATTAAAAAAAAGACAATAAAAAAAAAAAGAACCTTGGAAAAAGATTTGACAAAATGCTAACAAAAATAAACAACTTAGAGAGGAATATAAGTGAATTGTTGGGGCTGAAAAACACAACATGAGAACTTTGTGAAGCATACACAAGTTTCAACAGCCAAATTGAC